TCAAAGACTGTTGATTAGTCAGAGGGAGATAGTGTCAAAGACTGTTTATTAGTCAGGTTACCGGTCTGAGAGAGATAGTACCAATGACTGGTTATCGGTCTGTTGGAGATATTACCAAGGACTGGTTATCTATCTGAGAGAGATAGTACCAATGACTGGTTATCGGTCTGTTGGAGATATTACCAAGGACTGGTTATCTATCTGAGAGAGATAGTACCAATGACTGGTTATCAGTCTGAGAGAGATAGTACCAAGGAGTAGTTATCTTCTGTCTGAGAGAGATAGTACCAAGGACTTGTTTTCAGTCTGAATGAATACATTGAAGTACAATTTAATAAGGACTTTTATTCAAATTAAAATCAATTTTCAGTTTTAAGGGTTGGTTATGAGATAGTGTCAAGGCCTGTTTATAAGTCAGTGGTAGATAGTGTCAAGGACTGGTTATTAGTCAGAGGGCGATAGTGTCAATGACTGTTGATTAGCCAGGGGGAGATAGTGTCAAGTACTGTTTTTAAGTCAGAGGGGGATAGTGTCAAAGACTGTTTATTAGTCGGAGGGAGATAGTGTCAAAGTCTGTTTATTAGTCAGGTTACCGGTCTGAGAGAGATAGTACCAAGGACTTGTTTTCAGTCTGAATGAGTACATTGAAGTACAATTTAATAAGGACTTTTATTCAAATTAAAATCAATTTTCAGTTTTAAGGGTTGGTTATGAGTCAGAGGGAGAAAGTGTCAAGGACTGTTAATAAGTCAGAGGGAGGTAGTGTCAAGGACTGTATATTAGTCAGAGGGAGAGATTGTCAAAGACTGTTTATAAGTCAGAGGGGGATATTGTCAAGTACTGTTTATAAGTCAGTGGTAGATAGTGTCAAGGACTTTGAAGTACAATTGAATAAGGACTATTATTAAAATTAAAATCAATTTTCAGTTTGAAGGGTTGGTTATGAGTCAGAGGGAAATAGTGTCAAGGCCTGTTTATAAGTCAGTGGTAGATAGTGTCAAGGACTGAGATAGTGTCAAGGTCTGTTTATTAGTCAGGTTACCGGTCTGAGAGAGATAGTACCAAGGAGTAGTTATCTTCTGTCTGAGAGAGATAGTACCAATGACTGGTTATCGGTCTGTTGGAGATATTACCAAGGACTGGTTATCTGTCTGTTGGAGATATTACCAAGGACTGGTTATCTCTCTGAGAGAGATAGTACCAAGGAGTAGTTATCTTCTGTCTGAGAGAGATAGTACCAAGGACTTGTTATCTGTCTGTGAGAGATAGTACAAAGGACTAGTTATCTGTCTGAGAGAAATAGTACCAAGGACTTGTTATCTGTCTGAGAGAAATAGTACCAAGGACTTGTTATCTGTCTGAGAGAGATAGTACCAATGACTGGTTATCTGTCTGAGAGAGATAGTACCAAGGAGTAGTTATCTTCTGTCTGAGAGAGATAGTACCAATGACTGGTTATCGGTCTGTTGGAGATATTACCAAGGACTGGTTATCTGTCTGAGAGAAATAGTACCAAGGACTGGTTATCTATCTGAGAGAGATAGTACCAAGGACTGGTTATCAGTCTGAGAAAGATAGTACCAAGGACTGGTTATCAGTCTGAGAGAGATAGTACCAATGACTGGTTATCAGTCTGAGAGAGATAGTACCAAGGACTTGTTTTCAGTCTGAATGAATACATTGAAGTACAATTTAATAAGGACTTTTATTCAAATTAAAATCAATTTTCAGTTTGAAGGGTTGGTTATGAGTCAGAGGGAGATAGTGTCAAGGACTGTTTATTAGTCAGAGGGAGATAGTTCCAATGACTGGTTATCAGTCTGAATGTGATAGTAAAAGGACTGGTGTTATTACTCGAAGGGTGATAGTAACAAGAACATTTTATGAGTCTGAGGGTTACAGTACCAAGGACCGGATATAAGTCTGAGGAAAAAGTACCAATGACTATTGACATGTGTATCAGTGATACAGTTGAACCGATATTTATTGAAAGTGCCTATGGTACCTGGGCGAGGTTATCATTTATATATCGATCGTACAACGTGTGTAAACTTGTTGTCAACATTCTTGTCGATAGTACTATTATTAGGTATGAGTTTGGTTTAAAGCATACTTTATTAGATTACCAAATATGGCAAAGGTAAGGACATTGTTGATAGTTCTTTTACTTGGGAAGAGTCTGATATAAGACAGCCATTGAGAGTTCTATATTTGGTATTGGTTTGTCGCAGGGGATAGAGATATTCATTGATGTTACATTTGTTTAATGAGTGTCTAATCGAAGACTGAAAACACGGTTGTGATATCATCCATTGTCTTTTTAGGTTACCTGATCATAGGTCATGGTAACCTATTGTGATAGTCTTTTGTCTGTCGTCGTCCGTCGTCCGTCGTGCGTCGTGCGTTAACTTTTCCTTGTAAACACGAAAACTTTAGTAAATGTTAACCGAGTTTGATGAAACTTTGTATGCAGCCATATATCAATAAGATCTCGCACGAATTCGAAAATGGGAATTATTCGACAGTAATTAACAGAGTTATTGCCCTTTGTAATATTATTATTATTGGACCTTGTGAACACGAGTACTTGAGTAAATGTAAAATGAGTTTGATGAAACTTTGAATGCAGGCATATATCAATAAGACCTCGGACGAGTCCGAAAATAGGAATTATTCGACGGTAACTTACAGAGTTATTGCCCTTTGTAATAATATTATTATTGGACCTTGTGAACACGATAACTTGAGTAAATATCAACCAAGTTTGAAGTTTGATGAAACTCTGTAATTAGCCTTATATCAATAAGACCTCGGATGAGTTCGAAACTGGGAATTATTCGACAGTAACTTACAGAGTTATTGCCCTTTGTATTAATATTATTATCGGACCTTGTGAACACAATAGCTTGAATAAATGTTAACCGAGTTTGATGAAACTTTGTATGCAGCCATATATCAATAAGATCCCGGACTCTAAATGGGAATTATTCGACGGTAACTTACAGAGTTATTGCCCTTTGTAATAATATTATTATTGGACCTTGTGAACACGATAACTTAAGTAAATATCAACCAAGTTTGAAGTTTGATGAAACTCTGTAATTAGCCTTATATCAATAAGACCTCGGATGAGTTCGAAACTGGGAATTATTCGACAGTAACTTACAGAGTTATTGCCCTTTGTATTAATATTATTATCGGACCTTGTGAACACAATAGCTTGAATAAATGTTAACCGAGTTTGATGAAACTTTGTATGCAGCCATATATCAATAAGATCCCGGACTCTAAATGGGAATTATTCGACGGTAACTTACAGAGTTATTGCCCTTTGTAATAATATTATTATTGGACCTTGTGAACACGATAACTTAAGTAAATATCAACCAAGTTTGAAGTTTGATGAAACTCTGTAATTAGCCTTATATCAATAAGACCTCGGATGAGTTCGAAACTGGGAATTATTCGACAGTAACTTACAGAGTTATTGCCCTTTGTATTAATATTATTATCGGACCTTGTGAACACAATAGCTTGAATAAATGTTAACCGAGTTTGATGAAACTTTGTATGCAGCCATATATCAATAAGATCCCGGACTCTAAATGGGAATTATTCGACGGTAACTTACAGAGTTATTGCCCTTTGTAATAATATTATTATTGGACCTTGTGAACACGATAACTTAAGTAAATATCAACCAAGTTTGAAGTTTGATGAAACTCTGTAATTAGCCTTATATCAATAAGACCTCGGATGAGTTCGAAACTGGGAATTATTCGACAGTAACTTACAGAGTTATTGCCCTTTGTATTAATATTATTATCGGACCTTGTGAACACAATAACTTGAATAAATGTTAACCGAGTTTGATGAAACTTTGTATGCAGCCATATATCAATAAGATCCCGGACTCTAAATGGGAATTATTCGACAGTAACTTACAGAGTTATTGCCCTTTGTAATAATATTATTATTGGACCTTGTATATACGATAACTTGAATAAATGTTGACGGAGTTCAATGAAACTTTGTCCGGTAATTATTTGACGGTAACCTGCAGAGTTATTGCCCTTTGTCATTATATTATTATTTGTCCCTGTGATGTTGATTGACATTACACAAGAATAGATGTAAATTCATGTGGTACACCTTTTTTTTTCATTCATGACGCATTTTTGCTACTAACAAGGTGCTATTAAAATTTTGTGCCTTATTTAATAAATCATTGATTTACGCTTTTACTTGTTTCTTTTAACCAAGAACAGAAGACATACAGTTACCAAGTTTGGCGATGTATATACCAAAAAATATTTCATCACATTCAAAATCCAACACCTAGAATACTGTACTAGCGGTGTATATATCCGTGGAATTCAACACATTAAAACTTCAAAAGCTAGAGTACTGTTCCAGCAGTGTACATATCCGTGATTTTCATTACATTCAAATCTCAACAGCTAGAATACCATACCAGCGGTGTATACATACAAGTGTAATATTCACTTTCTCCTTTTCAGACAGGCCAGAAAAATGCTGCTTTAATCGAAAATTTCCAAATGCCACTTGAAGCACCATCAAAGAAAACCTTCTTCTTAAGCGCCCATTAATGTTGAATGAGTTGTAAAACTGACCTCCTAAATGTCAGAGGATAAAATGCCATATGAACACATGTAAACTTCACAGCGATGAAAATCATGCATGCGGTATGCATGATTGTGGTAATAGGTTCACCTTATAATGTCATATACGTTTAATGGGTCAGTGAACACCAATAAAGAGTCAGCATAAGAGGCACTCAGATCAACTCTTCGGCTTATATCCATTACATACATGTACATATGCATTACTGTTTGGTGCGGGTATTGTAGTAGACACACTTTTTATATGTATTTTTATTTTGTGAGGATTCTTGTCCTTTGCGTACTGGGAGATATAATATATACATGTAATTATATCTGGTAATGATGGTTCGTTATTTACATCAACGCCGTTTCTAGTGGGGGCGTTGGCAGAGCATATAGCGAAGCCCATTATGGCGAGGGATCGGAGCCAACCTGGATGGACAACGTGGACTGTACTGGAGGCGAAACGAGTTTATTTGACTGTCCCTTCCCAGGCTGGGGTGTGGAAAATTGTGGACATAGCGAGGATGCTGGTGTATCATGTTTAGGCTCAAATGGTGAGATAGTTTGCTATTTTCTGCATCATAAGAAAACTTTAAATCTGTCCAAAACATAACTGATACATCATTTTAAAACTTTTTTCGTGGCAAGTCGACACCGACACTCAAAGTTTATAATTATCAACATAACGTCATTCAAATGGCTTTTACACTCTTGAATGTTTTTGCCGACCTTGGATGTCAAAACATCGTATGATGCTGTGTATGTCATATTTGGAATATTGTATATAACAATATATTGTACTAAACAAAGATACAATCACCCATGTTTGTGTAACATTCATCTGTGGTAAATTCTTCTGCTAGAGTTTTTAGTACCCGCGTTGTGGAGTAACCTTGATGGACATAGTGATATATTTTGAGTAGCGGACACCCCTCCCCTTCCACATGTGTTTGCCCCTAGTATCACCGATGAGTCCGAGAAGAACGAAGCTTTAATTAATTCCGGCATATTGTATCTAGCACTAATTGTCTGAGGTGCAATCACCTGTGATGGTGTGTGTTACGCTCATCATGCAATATATTATTGATTTTATAGGCGGTCGACTGGCTTTAACGATCACCACAGGTTATTGCTAAATATTCATTTTGCTTAGACTTATCAATATTTTCATGCTTCAAATTGATTTAAATAATTTAAAACCTGTTCCTGCTCAATATCAGCAGATTTATTATATAACGATGCACCACAACTACCGTAGTCTCTATCTCTACTAACACCACTTAATATGTCAATTTCTTGTGTTGTTTCGACGTTCATGTTACTAAGTTGTCACTAACTGTTCCCGTTAAACTATTCCATCAGCCGTACCACTTACTATATTTACTATTACCATTATATTACAGCGACCACCTCGCCGCCCGTTTCCACGACGACTCCAAGCGATAGTAACGGAATGGAAGGATCTATCCGCTTGGTCGGCACTGGCAGCAGTGACACAGTAGGGCGGGTGGAGATCTATCACAGTGGACAGTGGGGAACTGTGTGTGATGATGGCTGGGACAAGAACGATGCACTTGTCGTCTGTAGACAGTTGGGACATGGGTAATATATAGTTCAGGTGTCATTTATAGACAGCTAGTAGATCGTAATCATGTATTGTTTACATGTAGGCTGTAGGCAGTTAAAGGATTGTTTTCACGTGTCACGTACAGTGAACAGTCCTTTATTCTTAAGGTCAGGGTCAGTTAACATATTTAGACAATGTGACCATAAAAGAAGATAAACAAATGTGGTATTTATGAGGTTGCCTGGATAAATGTGTTCCAAAAACAAATAATGATAGAGATTACTCCAACCCTTCACATGTATGTCTCCCGTTTTAGTAGGAAAATATCAGCTTGTCAACCCCCTCGTGCCGATTAGCAAACTCTCTAACCCTTGGGGTGATTTGTTTGGTTGTCTAACCCTCGGCAGAGCCTCGGGTTAGACAACCAAAAAATATCATCCCTCGGGTACGATATTTCTCTGTCACACCCTCAAGGTAGGGGAAGATTCTATTGGTCATTTATAGTAGTAATCTTTCTATCTATTGTAAGATTGCATGCTTTGTACACATGTGTATATAAGTATATACTAAGTCGCTGAGGAATAGAAAGTTCATCCTATATAGTCAAGTTGGTTAGGTCAAAGATTAATATGCTAATTCCTACAAATCATATAACTTAAAACCTAAAGATTTGAAAGACCACGTGTCACGATGTTGATCGAATGCATTTAGATTTGAAAAAAAAAATCTAATGAACCTTGCTAAACGAGAGCAAGAGTAATGTTAATAACCAAGTAGCTAGCTAGAGTGCATGCTGGTTATTGTGTTACTTCAATAGGACCTGCACCCTTCTAGCAGGTCAAATTATCATATAAGTCCAGTACTACAAATGACTGCTCAGCTGTATACTAGGTCTGAGATCACTAGTTTCTGGGCTTTACAGCCTGAGTGTGAGCGCCAGACAGATGTGTATGTGTACTAGGTCTGAGATCACCAGTTTCTGGGCTTTACAGCCTGAGTGTGAGCGACAGACAGATGTGTATGTGTACTAGGTTTGAGATCACAAGTTTCTGGGTTTTACAGCCTGAGTGTGAGCGACAGACAGATGTGTATGTGTACTAGGTTTGAGATCACCAGTTTCTGGGCTTTACAGCCTGAGTGTGAGCGACAAACAGATGTGTCTGTGTACTATGTCTGAGATCACCAGTTTCTGAACTTTACAGCCTGAGTGTGAGCGACAGACAGATGTATATGTGTTCTAGGTCTGAGATCACCAGTTTCTGGGCTTTACAGCCTGAGTGTGAGTGACAGAGAGATGTGTATGTGTACTAGGTCTGAGATCACCAGTTTCTGGGCTTTACAGCCTGAGTGTGAGCGACAGACAAATGTGTCAGCAACCTGATCTGATATTTAGTAAAATGTTGCATTCTTTGATTTCTTAAGATAAAGTAATTTTACTGACACATTTTGTCTATATAAATACTCTATTGCTATATTTTTGCTTTATCACAGGGATGGTAAACCAATGCCACAAGCTCGCTACGGGGAGGGGACTGGACAAATATGGATGGATGATGTAGGTTGCACTGGATCTGAAACCACCCTATCTGACTGTTCCTTTCCTGGCTGGGGTGTGGAGAACTGTGGTCATGGGGAAGATGCGGGTGTCGTCTGTGAAGAAGTTGAGGAACCGTTATGTGAGCAACTCTTCCTTCAACACACTATCTTCATTTCTATTAATTCTCAGAAATTAAAATGAGGATCATCTTGTGCAATGATTAACGAAAGTTGCATTCGATATGAAAGTTTAATGGAAATAGGAGAACATATCAATTTTAAAAACCAGAAGCTGTAACATTGGTCATTTTGAAAGAAAAGTTGACTTTTGATAAAAAAAATCACTTTAGTAAAACCAACTTTCATTAAAACACAGCAAAAATAGAAAAAAAAGTCAGGGCCAAATCAGTATCCGCGGCGGGCATATTTGCTATTTGGTTGGAAGAGAAAACGTAACGCAAATTTGCACCTAGTTCAACTTTTATTAATATCCGATCGATAGGTTCTGACAACATCTGGAAATCAACAAGAAATATAAATGATAATCATCTTTAAGTATGATGATAATATTTTCTGTATCTGATAGATTGTTATGTCCCTAATTGTTCAATAGGTACACATTGTTAGCTTTATGGTTTAAAGGACAATCAAATAAAAAAAAAATGTCTCGTTGACTAGTAGGAACTACGCGGCATTTATGTACTGTCATATTGGTTTTCTGAAGTATCAAAAGACCACAGTCCAAACAATTATAATTCAAGTTATTCTGAGGCTCTCTTGCAGAACGTGATGGCGTTGATAGCTTTTGAGCCGCTGTTCATAGAAAAAAAACTTTCATACTTAAGCTCAGTATAAACAGGATTTGCAATGATATGAAATAAAAACATAGTTATGATATAATCTTTCAAGTTATTTATCACTTGAAGGAGAGAAACTATCGTATAGGCATCTGCATATATATTTAATTAAAGTCTTGCCTTTTGATAAAAACTTCAAGGTATTTTTGAATCTTATTAAAATCAATGTTACTGTATATATTCATCATATTATTTAAAATGAATGCATAATTATCATATTTATATTAAATCTATAATACTTTTAAAACTTCTAGAAAGTTTACTGCTTCTCTTTGCCCACTGATAAATTCGAGAAGTCAAACGCATATTGTCCATCTGTTGTTTTCCACTGCTTCACGATTATTTGTGACTTCCGGTATCCCCCGCGACATTACTTGGTGTGTAACGTCCAACCCCCATTCTAGTTGCTCGTAGTTGTAACGTAGTAATACATGTAAAATGCCGATCTCCCCATATCGCCGCAACTAATACTGATCATAGCATGGAGTCTTATCACTTAGTGAAAGTTCCAAAGGGAAGTCCAGAAAAACCTTTCAACAGTAGTTTAGACCAAATTGGATTTTCCTTTTGTTTGCCCTCAGCATCATCGCTGATTCCTATAAAGACGAAACAGCTGTATGATGCAATGCAATTCATTTTGGCATGCAGTGTCAATTTTCAAATTATAATGTCCAATCACCTGGGTGTGTCTGATTCGATCATCCTCAATACACGACCATAATTTAATAAAAGTTATTAGAGAAAATAAACAGTATTACGTCATATGTACATACCTATTTCATCTTTATATTTCTGTTTTTCTGCGTGCCTATACCATAAACAATCTGTTCTGTGTAAAGTTGAAGGCATTCGACTCGTTGACGGCAACATGACTAGAGAAGGACGTGTGGAGATCAACAGAAACGGAACTTGGGGCACCATTTGCGACGACGACTTCGATGATAAAGCGGCGCGAGTTGTCTGCCGCATGTTAGGACGGTAAGACTGTAGGACATTATTTGTTTGTTCCGTTGTTTAGAGTTATAGTAATTCAGAAAAGTAAGATAGATTATGGGATTGTGAATCTTCTTTCGTGTGAAAGACAAGGAATTGTAAAAAATATTCTATCTTCTATCATCAAATGTATCTCATTTTCCAAATGTTAAATTGTTAAACGTTACAAAATATGTATTTGTACCATATGAATAAGTTTGAAATTCTGTGAGAACTTAAATGACTTGTGGTTACATTTTCTTGTTTAAAGTTCCTTAACAAGAGGAGATTTATGTTATCAGGAGTGGCGGAACATATTTTGCCGAAGCTGCGTTTGGTCCGGGATCCGGACCAATCTGGATGGATGATATACGGTGCAGCGGTACAGAAGAGACTCTTTTCCAGTGCCGATTCCGCGGATTCGGTGATACCAACTGTGGACATGATGAGGACGCCGGTGTAAGATGTGGTCATTTCAATGACACCATACCTGAGCCCGAACCACACACGACGACACCTGTTACGTATCCAGATTACACATCAACAACCATGCGGTCCACCACGACACCGATGTCTAATTCAACGGTTAGTGACGGTAAGTGCCAGCAACGTAGTAAGACAATAAGGGTATAATAGTTACACTTACTTTTAATCACACACACTTATCATATGATCACATGTAATGCGACTGGCTTTTCTATACTCATCAGTTAACGCCAGCATTGTACATATCGAGACTGATTTTTAGTCAGCGCCAGCTTTGTCCATATCTAGACTCATATTCTAGTCAGCGCAAACATTGTCCATATGTCCAAACAAAACATGTCATTAGTCATCTCCAGCATTTTCCATATCTAGACTGATTTCTATTCAACGCCAGCTTTGTCAATATATAGACTGATTTCAGAACAAGCGTTGTCTATAAAAATGATCATTCATAAGCGAGAGCATAGTCCATAAAAACGATCATTAGTCAGCGCCATCTTTGTGAATATAAAAACGTATCACTAGTCAGCGCCAGCATTTTTCATATCTGGATTGATTTCAAGTTAGCGCCTCAATGCCCATATCTAAAGTGATCACTTGGCAGCGCCAGCATTGTCCGATTTCAAAACTGATGAAGTATCAGATATACACACGTATATATGCTTATTTATTCCCTTATATATGTCACTACAGGCCACGTGAGTGGTTGGTTATATATGTCACGACAGGCCACGTGAGTTGTTGGTTATATATGTCACTACAGGCCACATGAATGGTTGGTTATATATGTCACTGCAGGTCACGTGCGTGGTTGGTTATATATGTCACTACAGGCCACGTGAGTGGTTGGTTATATATGTCACGACAGGCCACGTAAGTTGTTGGTTATATATGTCACTACAGGCCACACGAGTGGTTGGTTATCTATGTCACTACAGGCCACACGAGTGATTGGTTATATATGTCACTACAGGCCACGTGAGTGGTTGGTTATATATGTCACGACAGGCCACGTAAGTTGTTGGTTATATATGTCACTACAGGCCACACGAGTAGTTGGTTATATATGTCACTACAGGCCACATGAGTGGTTGGGTATATATGTCACTACAGGCCACATGAGTGGTTGGGTATATATGTCACTACAGGCCACATGAGTGGTTGATTATATATGTCGCTACAGGCCACACGAGTTGTTGGTTATATATGTCACTACAGGCCACACGAGTTGTTGGTTATATATGTCACTACAGGCCACATGAATGGTTGGTTATATATGTCACTGCAGGTCACATGAGCGGTTGGTTATATATGTCACTACAGGCCACATGAGTGGCTGGTTATATATGTCACTACAGACCACACGAGTGGTGGTTATATATGTCACTACAGGACACACGAGTGGTTGGTTATATATGTCACTACAGGGCACGTGAGTGGTTGGTTATATATGTCACTACAGGGCACGTGAGTGGTTGGTTATATATGTCACTACAGGGCACGTGAGTGGTTGGTTATATATGTCACTACAGGGCACGTGAGTGGTTGGTTATATATGTCACTACAGGCCACGTGAGTGGTTGGTTATATATGTCCCTACAGGCCACATGAGTGGTTGGTTATATATGTCACTACGGGCCGCTTGAGTGGTTGGTTATATATGTCACTACAGGCCACACGTGTGGTTGGTTATATATGTCACTACAGGCCACGTGAGTGGTTGGTTATATATGTCACGACAGGCCACGTGAGTTGTTGGTTATATATGTCACTACAGGCCACATGAGTGGTTGGTTATATATGTCACTACAGACCACACGAGTGGTGGTTATATATGTCACTACAGGCCACACGAGTGGTTGGTTATATATGTCACTACAGGCCACACGAGTGATTGGTTATATATGTCACTACAGGCCACATGCTATTCATTGACATGAGTGGTTAGTTATATATTCACGCTATTCACTGACATGAGTTGTTGGTTATATGTTCACGCTATTCACTGACATGAGTGGTTGGTTATATATTCACGCTATTCACTGGCATGAGTGGTTGGTTATATGTTCACGCTATTCACTGACATGTTTCGCGATTAGCTGTTGAAGGCTGTTTGTTTATTACATTTTGCATTTGTTCTGATATTTCACACAAAATATCTGGGAAACAATAAAGTGTAGCATACAATGCTGTTAGAAATGTTCATTATTCACTATAAGTTAAAGATCACTATATAAGCGTGACGTATTTGTGATACTGGGAAAATGTATCGGCGCTCGCGGCCAGAGTAGACACAAATTAATCGGAGAAATTTTAAACCGTAAGATGATGAATATATCGGGTACAATGGAAAGCAGCTGTCAGTAATTGTGATGCAACTACAACAATTTTTGATTTGTTCCGTGCTTCAAACGGAAGTGACGAAATCTATAAACCGACACGACTTGATCAGCTACGGTGACTAGAGAGTTGTTTTGAGGATGAAGATTCAACGATATTGCCACGGACACAATCTAATCCAATGCATTTTAAGGTAAAGTGATTGCAATTTATTTTTATCAGAAAGGAATGGTTTTACATTATTCGAGAGCCGTTTTATAAATAAATTGGTAGATTCACTATCAGCATACAAATATTTCCGGTTTGTCAGTCTAGAGCAAGTTTTATTAAAAATTATAAATGAAAGTTCATTTATAGAAAGCACTCTACAACAATTTTTAACATGATGGAATATGTTGTTGTCCCTGCGATATGTTAACAACGTGTTATGTTTATTACATACAGTTAATGCTTGAGTGTTTCATCAAAATTAGTTAAGATAAAAATAAACATGGGGTTTAATGCACGAACACACGACTACTGCTTAATATATGGTTGGTATGTGCATCTGTTGTAGCATATATTGTAGCTTGTTAAAGCTTATCCACAGATTATATCGAGCACAGCGTCTTACATATGTATACGGTACTATAGCTTATACAACTTGTACAATGTATAACCATATGCACCTACAATTAAATATTGTTTGTTACACACCTTTTCATTGGTTTGTGTTAACCGTCTATAAAGTGACAGACCGAACAAAATGAGAACATATTTTGATGACGCGATTCACTGTCTCGGATTTCGTTTGGGAAATGTAGTTGGGAGGTACGAAAATGGGATTAAATAGTCACTAACGGATTTTTTTTCTTCACAAAGCGAAATTCCACAATATTTATATCACATATTGGTATACACTTCATGATTTAGAAATAGGTATAATCAATTCTGAATGGTTCGTGATTAATGGTCCGTTTCGTTGCCGAAATGTAGTTGGAATATTATAAAACATGAGAGCTTAATTGAGCATAATAATATTGGAGTTCTTCCGTTATGTATTAACACACCATAGAGTTATTCCGTCATGTATTGACACACCATAGAGTTCTTCCGTCCCGTATTGACACACCATAGTGTTTTCCGTCATATATTGACACACCATAGTGTTTTCCGTCATGTATTGACACACCATAGAGTTATTCCGTCATATATTGACACACCATAGTGTTTTGCGTCATGTACTGACACACCATAGAGGTCTTCCGTCATGTATTGACACACTATAGAGTTCTTCCGTCATGTATTGACATACCATAGAGTTATTCCGTCATCTATTGACACACCATAGAGTTCTTCTGTCACGTATTGACACACCATAGTGTTTTCCGTCATGTATTGACACACTATAGAGTTCTTCCGTCATGTATTGTCACACCATAGAGTTCTTCCGTCCCGTATTGACACACCATATTGTTTTCCGTCATATATTGACTCTCCATAGTGTTTTCCGTCATGTATTGACACACAATAGAGTTCTTCCGTCACGTATTGTTACACCATAGAGTTATTCCGTCCCGTATTGACACACCATAGAGTTTTTCCGTCATGTATTGACACACCCATAGAGTTATTTCGTCATGTATTGACACACCATATAGTTATTCCGTCATGTATTGACCCACCATAGAGTTATTCCGTAACGTATTGACACACCATAGAGTTCTTCTGTCACGTATTGACACACCATAGAGTTCTTCCGTCATGTATTGACACACCATATAGTTATTCCTTCATGTATTGACACACCATATATTTATTCTGTCATGTATTGACACACCATAGAGTTATTTCGTCATGTATTGACACACCATAGAGTTATTCCGTCATGTATTGACCCACCATAGAGTTATTCCGTAACGTATTGACACACCATAGAGTTCTTCCGTCATCTATTGTCACACCATAGAGTTATTCCGTCACGTATTTACACACCATAGAGTTCTTCCGTCATGTATTGTCACCCCATAGAGTTATTCCGTCACGTATTGACACACCATTATAGTTATTCCTTCATGTATTGACACACCATATATCTATTCTGTCATGTATTGACACACCATAGAGTTATTTCGTCACGTATTGACACACCATAGAGTTATTCCGTCATGCATTGACACACCATAGAGTTATTCCGTCATGTATTGACACACTATAAAGTTATTCCGTCATGTATTGACACACCATAAAGTTATTCCGCCATGTATTTACACACCATAGAGTTATTCCGTCATGTATTGACCCACCATAGAGTTATTCCGTAACGTATTGACACACCATAGAGTTCTTCCGTCATGTATTCTCACATCATAGAGTTATTCCGTCACGTATTAACACACCATAGAGTTCTTCCGTCATGTATTGTCACACCATAGAGTTATTCCGTCTCGTATTGACACACCATAGAGTTCTTCCGTCATGGATTGACACACCATAGAGTTATTCCGTCATGTATTGACCCACCATAGAGTTATTCCGTAACGTATTGACACACCATAGAGTTCTTCCGTCATCTATTGTCACACCATAGAGTTATTCCGTCACGTATTTACACACCATAGAGTTCTTCCGTCATGTATTGACACACCATAGAGTTATTCCGTCATATATTGACACACCATAGAGTTCTTCCGTCACGTATTGTCACACCATAGAGATATTCCTTCATGTATTGACACACCATAGAGTTATTCCGTCATATATTGACACACCATAGAGTTCTTCCGTCAC